AGAAAAGGTAAAAAGGTAGATAAGCCCAGGCCAGGTGGCTCAGTTGGGTGGAGAGTCATCCTGTGCACCAAAAGGTTGTGGTTCGATTCCCAGTCAGGGCACATGTGAGAGGCAACAAATCAATGTTTCTCTCTCTCCTCTTCTCCCCCTCTCTTTCTCCCTCCCTCCCTCCCTTCCTCTCCCTCTAAAATCAATAACATATCCTCGGGTGAGGATTAAAACTTTAAAAAATTAAAAGGAAAGGTAGATGATAAAAACCACATACTCTCTAAATAGTAACAATGGGGAGCTTATAGTGAAAAACTAGCACTATAAATAAAGTTAAAGTGAACAAAGCAGAAAATAACAAAGTAGAAGCTGAATAATGAACAAGAAGTCAGACAAGAGGCCCAGGAGAGTAGTTTAGTAATGGTTACTGAGATTTTGATTTTTCCCCCGCCTCCAGGATCATGTACAATTCTTTTAAAAGTGTGATATGCTTTACATTTGCTTTGTATTTTACATTTCAATTTATTGGGAGAAGGGGCTTGAAAGGCCTGCATGGAATTTCTGGATACAGCCACAGTTACATGTGGAATTACAAAATAAGATTGAAGATAATCTAGTGAAATGAACTATTATTTACCCTGAACTCTCCAGTTCTCCACAATTGCAGAAAGGTTGGTCTTTAAGATAAGTTAGAAATGGATAATGTTTTTAAAAGGCAATAGCAGAAAGATTTTGGTAGATTTTTCAATGTTGGGAGGAGAGAAAGCAATAAGAAATCACACCAAGATTTGGGGCCTAGATCATGTTTCCTCGAGTTATTAAGAAGGTAAGTAGAAAGGAAAGTAAATTGTGTACAGCAGGGGAAGATTACAAAAACAAGTTTGTGACTGGGAAGATATTTTAAGGCAAAGTAGCAGCTAGCCAGCATTTTCATAACATACTGATATCCCTGGCTAACTTTATTTGGGAGAGGGGCCCGACTCATTCTCCTTTTATGAGACTGTAACTTTTCATTATTCATTTTACTGTTTGTCATTTATTGAGTTGTTCCTACCCAGTGTGTTTACAACTCCCATAAAATACTGAAGACAATAAAATATAAAGAAACAAGGCTTGGAAATGCACCTCAACCCATGAAAGTATCATTAGTACCGAGTGGCAGCTGCACACTGTAAAGTATTTGGAAATGCCCCAGGCAGAAGGGAAATGAATATCTAGATACTTCAAAGCAAAACTCCTTTTTGTTTTTTTAAGAGACAGAGAAACACTGCTTTTGTTCTTCCACTCATTTATGCATTCATTGTTTCTTAAATGTGCCCTGACTGGGGATTGAACCCACAAACTTGCTCTAACCGACTAAGCTAGCCGGCCAGGGTGAAGCTCTCTTTTTTTTCTTTTTCTTTTTTTTTAAACATTAGGTGGTTTTAAATTGGCCAGCAGAGAAAAATAAGTTGTCTAAGTAAGAAACTAGACAATCCATCAAGAACAAAATGCAAAGAGGAGAAAAGGTAAAGTTCTCATGGGAACAGGATACAAAATTGATGACAATGGGCCCTCTTAGGAGATGAAGAGCAACATAACATTGTATGCTATGTATTATTTGCATAAAGGCCAAAGAACTTGGCACTGCTTACATTTTCCACATCACAATTATAAACCAGGAAGTTAAGAGGAAAAAAAAATGGTTTCAAGCAGCCAAACTAGGGGTTGGAGTAGCCAACTTTACTCAAGGGAGTCCCCAGATCCTTACTTAACAAATAATTCCAATAAATTTGGCTACTATCTCTTTTCTAAATCCAACCATTTAAAATGAGATTCAGAGCCAAATTTACATGTTATGTACCACTCAATGGTTGGTTCACTTGTTGAGTATTAACTATGCACCAAGCACTATTCTATATTCTATCTGGATGGACTCATTTGTTACCATAGCAACCTAAAAGATAAAGACTAGGTTTATCCCCATTTTACAGATGAGTAGATTGAAACACAGGTTTTATGAAGTACCTCAAAACATACCATAAGTCGTAGAGCTGGGATATGAACTCAGGTTAATCAGGTTCCTACATCCTTAACAACTTGGCCAGCCCTTCTCAAACCTAAGTGTGCTCCAGAATCATCTCAAGGGCTTTTAAAACACACAGTGCTTCCTTGGGCAAAGGAAACAAAAGAAAAAATAAACCAATGGGACTACATCAAACTAGAAAGTTTTTGCACAGCAAAGGAAATTATCAGTAAAATGAAAAGACAACCTACTGAATGGGAAAAATATTTGTCAATGATAAATATATCCAATAAGGAGTTAATACCTACAATTTACAAAGAATTCAAACACGAAAGAAAGAAAGGAAGGAAGGAAGGAAGGAAGGAAGGAAGGAAGGAAGGAAGGAAGGAAGGAAGGAAGGAAGGAAAGAAAGAAAGAGAGAGAGAGAGAGAGAGAGAGAGAAAGAAAGAAAGAAAGAAAGAAAGAGAGAGAGAAAGAAAGAACCCAATTAGAAATAGGTGAAGAACCTGAATAGACACTTCTCTAAAGAGGACATACCAATGGCCAATAGGCATATGAAAAGATGCTCGGTGTCACTAATCATCAGAGAGACGCAATTAAAACCATACTGAGGTATCACCTCACGCCCATCAGAATGGCTATCATCAATAAATTAACAAACAGCAAGGCGTGTATAAGAGGAATAAATGGTAATGGAAATAAATACATAAACAAACAGAAAGAGGAAACACAAGAGTGCTGAGCTCCACCTCAGAGTTTTTGACTCAGCAGCTCTGTGATGGAACCAGAGACTTTACATTTCTAACAAGTTCCTGGGTATATTTCTTTCCTAGGGGGCCACACAACAAACTGGGTGGCTTAAACTATAGAAATTTATTTTCTTACAGCTCTGGAAGCTTAAATTTTTAGGTCAAGATGTAGGCAGGATTGGTTCCTTTTGTGGCCTCTCTCCTTGGCTTGCAAATGTCTGTCTTCTCCCTGTGTCTTCACAGTCATCCTTCTGTGTATGTTTACGTCCTAACCTCCTCTTCTTATAAGGACACCAGTCAAATTGGATTAGGCCCATGCTACCAACTTCATTTTAACTTAATTACCTCTTTAAAAACCCCATCTCCAAGTACAGTCACATTCTGAGGTACTATGGAGTTAGGCTTCAACATATGAATTGGACAGAGGACAGAGATACAATTCAGCCCACACTCTAGGTGATACTGGTGTTGACACTGTTCATCCAGGGACCACAATTTCAGAACTACCAAACCAGCAATAATATGTATGGTTACTCATTCCAATTATTATCTAATTTAATCCTCACATGAGGAAAAATGCCATTATCCTCATTTTCTCAAGAAAATTGAGAATCAGAGATGTAGAACAACTTTCCTAAATTCACACAGCTCATGTAGTAGACATTAGAAGCTGAACTATTACCACTATGATCTGTTTCTACTCACAGCATTTAGAATGCCGAATGTATGGGTTTTCCACACAAAGCAATTCTCAAATTCCCTGCAGACACCAATCTGGTGTTCTGCAATTGAAAATAATTCTGACACTAATTACCTAGAGTTAGCACAGACCCCACAAGTCAAGGGCTAAGTCCTAGAAGACTAGCCCCACTCCAGATGCCAACTGAAAGTAGTGGGCTCCCTGGTTACCCACACTTCTGACTTGCCTACAAATCAGGGATTCCTACGACCCTCTCCACAGTTTTGATAATTTGCTGTAACAGGTCCTAGAACTCAGGGAAGCATTATACTTATTATAAGTATTTTATCATAAAGGATACAATTGGACATCAAGGTCCAGGAGGATCCTGAGCAGAGGAGCTTCTATCCCTCTGAGGTTTTGGGTACTCCACTCTTTGGCACATGGATGTGTTCACCAACCCAGAAATTGTCCAGACTTTTTCACTTAGGGATTTTATGGAGGAGGTTCCATTATGTAGGTATGATTGATTAAATCATGACACGAGATTTCATCACACTACTTAAAATGGTGCACGATTTTAAACTTATAAATTGTTTATTTCTGGAATTTTCCATTAAAAGTTTTCAGATTGCAGTTGATTGTGAGTAATGAAAATATGGAAAGTAAAATAGTAGATAAGAAGAAACTACTGTGCAAAGGATTAGGAATCACGATGGTGTTCCAAACCTCTTAACAGCAACACCTAGACCTGGTCCTTGGGGGCCTACCCATTGTCAGTTTCCTGGTCCCAAAATACATGGTTTGGAATAGATATATTTGGTGGTTTGTTGGCAGAACCCCACATTGGTTCCTGTCGAGACAGGAACACACAAGACAGTGAGGCTAAGGTCAAACTCTGGTTAATTCAATAAATATAGATACAAGCCACTTTTAGATAGACACTTTGATACTTATTTAGACAGTGAAAAGAATAATAAGCCAAAGGTGCCAGCTTCCAGTGATCCTTGTCCTACACACCAAAAAGGACAACACTGAAACATGTGACTGCAATCTGAGCTATGAGATACCTGTTGCTGAGGAGCCACTTCTAGACTCCAGCTGTTTTACACTGTGTAGCTCTGTTGGAAGAAAGGAAGCAGCATGGTCCCATACCTCATCAGACAGTCTCCTAGGGGAAACGGGCACACAAGTTGGAGATGGCTTCTTGTCCCCTTCTGTTTCGGGAGGATCACAAGACATTTTTCCAAGACAGGTTAGCTGCCTTTTCCAAGCCAGCTCTTGCCTACATGGCTTATTTGGATACCTACAAGGTGGTCAGAATGACATGGGCAGAGGTATTCCCTTCAGTTCCTTGGCCTGTGGGATAAGGCTATCATGCTGCAGAAAGCTTAAAGGGAAACCTCTAAATTCTTCCCTAGACCCCAGCTAGGAGAGTAAATCATAATCTCTGGCAAACCCAGGGGGGAATGACAGAGATTAATACAACCCTTCAAGACCTGAAAGTTGATAGTCCCCATCATATTTCTATTTTCACCAATCTGGCTCCCAGAAAAACAGACAGATTCAGGAGACTTACAGTAGAGTACTGCAAATTCAAAGAAGTTGTAGCCTCGGTTGCAGCTGTGGTATGTTTTCTAGAGCAGATTCATAAGACTTCAGGCATGTAACATGTGGCCATTGATCTGGCAAGTTCTTTTTCATCACTATCAGGAAAGAGGGCCAGAGCAGAAGTATATATTTAGTTTTCCCCCAAAGTTATATCCTAAATAAGAATAACCTATCAAGCTAACTAAAGTAATTAAGAAGTGCATGTGGGCAATGATAATAAGGACCTTGTAATTAAGGACCTTGTGGGCAATGGTAAGATAATATCCCTACTCCTAGCAGAGACAATATATAGGACTTGTATTCAGATTTCTGACCATCAGTTCATACATTGGATTATATGTAACTGAGGAAATACTGGCGAGCTTTTAAAAAAATCCCAAGATGAAGCAGCTTCACAGATCCTGTCTATGTTGGAATCTTATAAATATAATAGAATGCTTTATTGATCAGAAACATTCAGTGCTGCTCCCCAAGGAATGAGTAAATTATCCACCCCTGTTGAACTCAGGAATGACCAAGTGACTTGTTTGGCCAATGAATTAAGAACAGAATGTGAAAGTGTCACCTCTAGGCAGCCACTTTAAGAGCTAGGTTCTCTTTTCACTGTCTCCATGATGATGGAAGTATGTGTCAAGATGAAGCATTTATCAACGTAGGTCCCTGAGTGATTATATGAGCACGACCCCTTGGCTAACCCGCTGTGGACATAACATGAGAAAGAAATACATTTTAAGTTGCTGAGATCTGGGGGTTTGTTAACACAGCATATCCAAGCAATCCTGACCACATAAAAGGAGGCACTCCCCCTACAGTCTGCCCATCTACCTGGAGCCCAAAAATCTGCTTGGCTTTTGCTGTGGATATTTGTAGTTGCTTTCCCAGGATCCATTTTCCTATCCCATAGCTTCTGAGAGGCGTTTCCACGTGATTCCAGTGAAGTTAACTCTACCACTCCACAGGACATTCTGCCTAGGCTAAGTCAATGGAAACATTCATCTGCCCCATCACAGTGACTGGGTCCATACTGGACAGGTGTCCTTACCTGGTCCAGCTGCAGTGAATCTTAGGACTCTTGCTGGGAATGCACATATTTATCAATATTAGAACAATTTTCATATTTATCACTAGTTGCATGCTATCTTATTAACTGGACTATGTGTTATTGAGAACAGGAATCAATTTACCTTTTTATTGCCAGAACCTGGCATAATGTTTGGCACAGTAGATGCTAATAAATAATCACTGATCAATTAAATGGGGAATAAAATTTTACTCCTTTTCTTCAAACTTCACTCCTTAAATTTCAGGGTGACCTATCTGTCTGGAAACTACACTCAACTATTTGTACTTTGTCCTTTCCTCCATCTTCATTTAAGAATAAATATATTTGCCTAATATTGTTCTGACTTTCAAAAAATTTCCTTCTCATTTACCTGTGAGGTTTTTGGCATTTGTATGGCTTCTCAGGGCAGATCTTCTGGGCCCTCTTCTTCTGAGTAGCATCAGCACCAAAACTCCCACAACCAAGTGAAGCAACTATCTGCCTTTGTGAATGCATCAGACAAGCCATGGGCTACAGGAGGAGTCTAACTTCCATGACCAATTCATGTTCCCTTACCAAATGCATCTTTACAGTGCCCAGATATAATTATAAAACACCAAATAACTGTTGGGATTATTTTAACCTTTCCCATTTTCCTCAAATTCCCTAACATTTTTTTCTCCCACCCTCTAATCCTCAACCCACCATTCAAGATTTAGCCTCTTCTAAAGAAAACAGAAAGTATCAAACAGTTCTCTCATTTTCCTGAAACCAAACACCTACAATTATCCTAGCCTCCTCTCCTCCAGTTGTGACAGAACATTCTTAATTCCTATGCTTTCAATGCTCTCTCTCATTTTAAAAATCCTACACCATCTCTCAATCCTTCTCTGTCTTGCACATTCACCTTTTTTCATGAACTCTTCCCATTAATTTAAATGCACAAGTCTCCCTCTCTCTTAAAAAAATTTCACTTGATTTATTCCCTATTAGCTACCACCTATACTCTTCCTTCCCCTCATATGTAAAGACAGGAAAGGCAGTGAGGTACAGTGGTTAAGAATATGGATTTTGGTACAACACTACCAAATTGAAACACATCATTTAATGAGTCTGAGACTACGATCAATTACTTCATCTTTCTATGCCTCAATTTCCCACATGTAAAAAGATTATAATCACTCTCTGATAATACTGGTGCAAGAATTAAATGAGATAGTATATGTAAAACACTGACAACAATGCTTGGCATATGGTAAGCACTATATAAAGGTTAGTTTTAATCACTTTTACTTTCACTCTCATTCATTTCTCAGCCCATTCTTACATATCACTTTACCATAAACTGTGTATTAGGAACACTAATGACCTATGTTGTTGAATCCAACAAATACTTTTTAGTCATCATCTTACTTGAGATCTAGGCAGCTATTGACAATGTTAATGCTCTCTTCTTGGAACATTCTCTTTCCTGGTCCATGGCTTCAATTACCACCTACCTGTTGGTGTCTTACGCATCTTTATCTGTAGCCCAGACCTCCCTTCTACTCTCCAGGCCTCACAAGGCCAGTCTCTGGCCTGGACATCTCTCCTTGAATGTCTGTCTCAAAAGCATCTCAAATGCACCACATCCAAAACTGAGCCATGATCTTTTTCTCCCAACCCCCTTTGCCTTTAATATCCTTTCAGTCCCTCTTCACCTAGCTGACCCCTACTACTACTTTAGATTTTAGCTTACGTGTTACTCCCTCAGGGAAAACTGAGGTGAATACCCTCAAAAAAACTTTCCTAGCACCTCGTACCTCTACTTCACACTGGCAATCAGACAGTTAGGCTACTCAACGTCAAGCACCATGTCTGTCTTCTCACTATTGTAACCCAGAACATGAATTGAGATTGCCTCCAGAGCCCTTTCATTTGCACTGGGGTCTGTCTGCACTCCCTAAGAGATATTAACTGTGCCAGGCCAAGACACTATTAAGATAGCTAAAACTTAATGGAGTGCAAAAAAGTCTAGCAGGGGAGACAGTATTTAACCAATCCCCCAAATTATTGTACTCTAAAGTGCAATAAAAGGCTTATGAATGACTTTTTTCTTAAGCCTAATTTAGGGAGATTCATCCATTGGAGAGCCAACACTATGCAATACAACAGATCTAGGCAATCAGTGTAATATTGTGTGTGTCTTCGGAGTGGGGATGGGCATTGTGTTTATGACTCACTCACGACGTGTGACCGGTACCCTATCCTTACCTTCGCAAGGCAACTACCTATAACTCAGCACTCCTGTGTCCCAATACACAAAATAGCAGCGAAGAGGTCTCCTACGACTCCAGGCAGCAGCTACACTGCCTCTGCGGCAAGTGAAGGCGAGGAAGTCCAAGGGAAGAAGAGCGTAGGGATGAGTTTAGTGAACAGTCTGTGGTTGAAGCCGGTAGAGGTACACGGGGCTGAAAAAAGAACCGAGCCAACGTTGCAGCTAAGATTGGTATGAAAGTTCGACCCCGTCCCAACCGAAACCCTGGAACCCCGCGCCTCAGAGCTAATCCCGCGAGACTACAGCTAATTCCCAGGATTTCCCTCCAACTCCAGCTAAACACCCTTTGGGGCGGGGCAAGAGGCGACGAGGGCGCGACGCCGCTTCCCTTACAGCGCTCCGTGATCTCGAGAGAGTGGCACTTCTCGCGATACTTCCGGAGTCGAGCCTCCACGCGGAGTTTGAGAGCGTTTGCTGTGACGGGAGTACGGAGAGGGCAGAAACCGTGCTGGAGGGAGAATTCCTTTTGTCCTACCGTACGGAAGCCTGAGAGGGAGGGTCGTGATTTCTACCCTGTCCCATTGTCGCGATGCCCAGCGCCAGCGCCAGCCGCAAGACTCCGGAGAAACCACGGGAGGTCATGGACGCGGCGGAAGTGGGTTTCCACCTTCCTCGGGCCTGGGAGGACAGATCCCTGGGCTGGATCGCGCTGAGGGAGGGAGTAGGGTGAGCGGGCCCTTTCCTTGGGGTCCTTGTCGGCATCTTACCTGGAGGCCGCGGGCCTGAGGTTCGGACGCCGACATCCCTCACCGGGACTCCAGGGCCCTTGCCCGAGCAACGTGGCCAGACCCACTCCGGATCGCATTTCTTACAGGCCTGGCTTACAGGAAGCGTGCCGCGGGATAGGGTGCACATGAAGCACCCCTTGCCCCGGAAGTAGGAGCGGCGAGGTCACACTGAAGCCTCCCTGGGTTAGGGACGTGCTTCGCTTAATCCATCACCACCATCTCGGAAAATTTTAATGCCGACTAGTAATCGATTTTTACTCAGTCCTCGTGTTCCTAATGTTTTTGCAAGTAATGACAGTACTTCGTAAAACGGTCTGACTTTATGTTTAATGACAGTTTTCCGTGACAGTTTTAAAGAACACTTGTCATCTTTATTTTCCTTCTCCCTCTAAGTGACTCAGTGAGGTAGGAAGTTTGCAGAGAATGCATTTGAAATGAAGTGACCCAAGATCGTGTGGGTAATTCATTACACCCAGGGGGTCTTTCAGTGCTTTTTAGAAGTGAAAGTTTGATACCATCCTACAATGTGTTGTATTAAAACTGAGTCTTTAATCATTACCTGGCTCCTTATTTTTCTCTTGTGGAATTATGAATTTGTTATAAAGTACATAAGGAATAGGTCATTTGAAGACTATTAGGTGGTATATCTGTTGCTTTAATATGAATAGTAATCCGTTTACACTAACGATATATTGTGTAACTATCTAATAGGGTTGGGGTTATCTTTTGCTTTTAAGGTGTATTTTTTAGTAGTAGTAGTAGTAGTAGTACCCCCCCCCCACCAAAAAAAAGTGCAGTAAGCATCTTAACATCTTCTTTGGTTTATTTTGGTGTAAACAAAACAACCACTATCCGTCAGATTTAAAGGAGAGGATTCCAACAGGTAGCTATAGGGTGACGGAAACTAATTGTTTCACATGTATCTTAAGTTGACTTGTAAAATCTACAGAAATTACTTTGGGTCTTCTTGATCTGATTAATTATATAAACTAATGCAACCTTGCAGATAGTTAAGGTCTACATATAAGGTAGACATGTCAGAGTTGTGTCATAGCTAGAAGGATTTTTATTAAAAGATCATTTTTGAAGTAAAGTGAGATTAAAAGACCACTTATCTACTTAATAAATATAATATTTTGATAATAGTCTGGACCCTAGATCTCTTCTTTCCTGTTTCTGACTTTTAAATCTAAAAAGAAATTTGGTATTATATTGCAATTGTTACTTGTAACCTGGCATGCTGAAGCTGATTTTTAGAAACAGGAAGTTGGTGGATTTTTTTTAATGTTTTCCAAAAGGAAAGTTGTACTTAGCTTTTATCCAACCTCTCTGATTTCTAAAAATGTGGACATCTGGTGCTCAGAAAGCTTACCCAAAAATGTTGGTTCTCTTTGAACATCTCTTACTGTAATAGGAAGTTAAAACTGTGGTACTTCATCCTACTCCCTTCACAGAGGAAATTTATATCCCTGTTTGAAGTAGTTTATTCTTATTTTGAAGAAGGTAGTTAAGATGTGTTGCACATGTGTAAATTTTATCTGAGAGCACTGTTATGTATGGTATGTCCATCCAGGAATAGAGATCTTCAAAACTAACTAGAAACTGGTGTTTATCCTTTTCCTACAGAGTACATATGTAAATGATATGACAGATTTCCATATTTTGAAATTATGACTCTTTGATTTATTAAAATGACCTTGAAAGTTAAAATGAATTTAATTTTACATTGTTATTTGTATTTATGTGTTTCCTAAACTTAAGTAAAAAGTCATAATGCAAAAACATTTTTTGTAGGATTATGCTAAAGAAAGATATGGAGTATCTTCAATGATACAGTCACAGGAAAAATCAGGTTAGTAGCTATGTGATAATAAATAAAGCCTTTTTTCCTTCTAATTCCAGGAAATCTCTTCATGAAGTTTTAATTAAGGTTGGCATAGCTCTGAAAAACTTAAATTACAGTGATAACCCAAGCAGATGTTATAACCCTGTATAAATGTCATCAGTTAAGGGTCCTTACTCTAGAAAGGGAAGAAAATAATGTGAGTATATTTTAAATATTAAACTATATTAAAAAGATATTCCTAAGTGATCAGGTAAAATTTTAAGATTTAACTCTGGCCGAGGAGATAAGAGAATGGTTAATAGTAACTGCCTTCATAATATGCAACCTTTTTTTTTGGTGCTTTATGAAGCTACCTTCTTTACTTCTCCCCTTGACTTTATTGGTTTTCTTTAGAATTAACTTGTCACATGTTAATTGTTTCTTTCAGACCTGTAGGTTTTCTATTTGTAAACATCTGCCTGCCTTTTGTTTTTATTTTTATTTTTTGTTTTTTCAACAAATTATCTTACTCAGCTATTGAACAATCATTTTTCTTTTGGTAGACACCCCAAGTTATGTCTTTCAGTCTCTAGTACAACTGCAGACTTTTAAGTTCTAGCCCACTGGAGGTAATTAAGTGCTTCTAATTTAGAGACTTGCCTATGAATTTTATGCTTTGGAAATAACATACCTCTAGGTCAATTTTATTGTTATTTTGGATTAGTTTATTGCATGATCACTTTCCTTCCCAACTTTATGGGACAGTGTGCAGTAAAAGACCAAAATAATTTGCTAAAAATTAACCATTTCTAAAAGATGAAGATGGTGTAGTAAAATGATTGCGTATAAAATGGGATAGAAGCAATATAGTTTGGAGATGATATTCCCCTGCCAGGGCAAGCTGGAGAGGGGTCATTTGAGATTTTGTTTTTAGCTTAACTATCTTCCTGAGCTGGACTTCCTTGAGCTCTAATAAGAAGAAGCTCACTGGAGTTTCAGTCTGTTACCTAAGCCTCAATCACCTGTTGCCATTATTACTGTTCCCTTTTGGCCGGTAAATGCAAACAACTTTTTCACTTACAAACTCTCCCACCAGAATAAAACAAAACTATGTATATAATCCCATTAGAGTAACATAACAGTAAAATTCTGCCTTTGTTTTTACCTCTGCTAAAATCCTAATACTTTGTTCAGGCAAAATTTCCTTCCCCATATGTTTCCATTTCTCCAAATTTCTTTATTCTAATACCAGTGACTTAAAAGTGTGGAGGAGGCGGTAGTTTTTCGAAGTGAAACTCTGCTGCCACAAATCATTGCCTAAGCCAGCCATACTGGTGCAAGTATGGTGTGTACCTCAAGTATGTGTAGATAAGTTAAAGGTTGAGAACCCCAATACTAATTAGTTGGAATATCACATGAAAGAAGAGCCATTATTCTGTCTTTTTCAAAGTACTGTAAAAATTATGCAGTCATTATGTTTATGTCTACCCAGATGTGTGTTGTCATGCTTCATTTGATTCCGAGTTTTTATTGCCTACTTAGTAGTCACTGGCTTTTTCAATTTTGGCATTTCCAAATCTGACTTCAATTTTTATGCTGTTTTGTCTGTCTTTTTTGTTTCACCCTTTCTTTTGCCTGAGTTTAAACAGCAGACTTTGGAAGTTGGTTTATCTCATGAAGTCTATAAGCAACATTTTATAGAAAATCTCTTGTGATGCCCAATGGCTTAAAAATTCCTATTCATTCACTGCTTTTGGAAATGATAACCATTGTATTCTATAAATCTGATTCTCTCTTAGCTATATCTCTGCTTCAAGAGACAAAATAAGTACATTTTGACAAAGTAGGTTAATAAATACCTCTTTTGACTTCATTATAATATCCCCACGAAAGGTATTTTTAGTATTGTAGTAACTAGGTTTTACTGCAAGAGATATTGACAGATTTGGTTAGACAACATAACCCTTGAGAAAGATCTTTTATACCTCTTGATGTGGTTTTCATGTCTATTACTCTGTTTTTAATTAATACATAAATTTTTTAATACTCAAATTACTGCATATTTTAAAAATAAAGTGATTTCTGGATCATGATTGCCTCTCATCACTATCTTTACATAGTAGTTGTTTTGTCACAGTTTTCCTGCTTGGGGACTCTGGATGCATGTAGTACTTTGTTATTAGTATTAGGGGACATAATTGTTGGGCCTCATAGCCAGAATTTATTGGCTAACATAACTAGGGGAACAAAGTTAGGTGGCCTGAGGCATGATTGGATCTAGCGGTTCAAGCAGTATTGTCAATGCTTTCTGCCTGCACTTCTTGGCTCTGCTTCCCTTATTGGCCTCATTCTCTCATCCTACAAACTCAGGTAGAGAGGCAGATGGTGTCTACAGCCCTGGGCCTACACTATCTCAGTTCAGCAGCCCTGGGGGAGAGCTTCATTCCCAGTGTCTGTATATTAAGTTCCAGAGAAGGACTTTGATTAGCTCAGTTTGAACAACATGCCATTCCCTGAATGAGTTAGTGTATCCTAGCGAATGGGCTACCATTACTGTCCAGGCCTGGCTCAGTCCTCCCCTACAGCTAGCTGACTTACGTACTTTGGCAAGCAAGCTA